TTATTATTATTGAACTCATAAACAAGACATCTGCTTTTTGAACTCCCTCTCATCCCTTAGAAAATTGGTAAGGGGGTGAGCGCCCACCCACCTACAAATGTTTTCACAGTATCAGCGCTCTAGCATCCAATCTTTACTGCACATTTAAAACAAATACATCAACATTATATATGGTATCATTAACATTAGGTTTGGTGTAATCAAGATTATATTTGGTATCATCAAGATTGTGGTATCATCAAGACTGTGTATGGTGTCATCAAGGTTGTGTATGGTGTCATCAAGATTATCTATGATATCATCCAGATTTTATGTGGTATTGTCATTATCATCAATATTATCTGTGGTATCATCACGATTATCTGGGGTATCATCAATATTATGTATGGTGGCATCAAGGTTGTGCATGATGTCATGAAGGTTGTGTATGGTGTCATCAATATTATCTGTGGTATCATCAAGATTATCTGGTTTATCATCAATATTATGTATAGTAGCATCAAGATTATATATGGTGTCATCAATATTATATATGGTATCATCATGATTATATAATGAATCATCCATAGTATATATGGTATCATAAAGATTAAATATGATTTCATCAACTAATGTGGCCTGTGTTTGCCTAATTCAGATTGAAAGCCTCAACATTATACCGCATATCATCAACTGACACTAGCTCCTGTGTCTAGTTCAGACCTGTTCTTGAGATTGTGGTCTAAAATCTTGTACCATTAGCTAATGTGGACTGAATTTGCTTGGTTCAGATCTAATACATCAAAATTATATTTTAATTCAAGTAATTCATCTGGACATGGGTATTTCGACTTTAATACTTCCATGTTTCATCTTTTATCATCGCGTAATGTGGTCCACGTGTTTTTAAATAGCAATGACATTAATTCTTGCCTGGTTTAAGGTTGGATCTTCTATAAACATAGTATCAACTTTTTTTAGACGTACTATCAACTTTTTTAGACCTACTGTCAACTTTTTAAGTCCTACTTTCAACATTTTAGACTTATAATCAACTTTAGACATCCTGCCAACTCTTCTAGACGTACTGTCAACATTTTTTAGACGCACTATCAACATTTTTTAGACGCACTATCAACATTTTTTAGACGCTCTATCAACATTTTTAGGCACACTATAAATGTTCTTTGACATACTGTCAACTTTTATAGACGTACTATACATTTTTTAGACAAACTATCAACATTTTTAGACGTACTATAAACTTTGTTTAGACATATCAAAATTTCTAGGCCTGCTACTACAGAATTTTTAGACATACTATTGATATTTCTAGACATGCTATCAAATTTTTCAGACATACTGTAACAATTTTTAGCCATACTATCAAGATTTCCAGACATACTGTCAGTATGTTTCTAGACGTACTATCAACATTTCTAAACTACTATCAAGATATCTAAAGATATTATCAAGATTTCTAGACGCTGTCTACAAAACAGTATGTAAATACGATATAAATAATTGTCACCCACAACCCTTTGGTGATAACTTTGTTTAAAAAAAAAAAAGATGGTATCTCCACCGCCAGGCTAGTATCTAGACATGTTATCTCCACGGCGAGGCTAATATCTAGACATGGTATCTCCACCGCCAGGCTAGTATCTAGACATGGTATCTCCACCGCGAGACTAGTATCTAGACATGGTATCTCCACCGCGAGGCTAGTATCTAGACATGGTATCTTGAATCCAGGACGAAAACTTGGCCACTTCCGTGTAGACCCCGAAAGAGTTGATTTCGGCACAGCCCGCGCCGTAGGAGACGATTCCCGCTTGTTTCCAGACACCCTGGGAATTCTTGCAGACGAGAGGTCCACCAGAGTCACCCTGGAAAAAAGGTTATGATGGTGATATGTCAACTGCATGTGTGGGTATTTGGTATATTTTCATTGTTGGAATACGTTGGTATTTGCTATATTGTCATTGTTGGAATATAAGGGTATTTGGGTATATTTTCATTGTTGGCATATGTTGGTATTTGGGAATATTGTCATCACTTCAGCCACCGTTACTTTAGTCACCTACACATCAGTCACCATTACTTTAGTCACCCTTACTTTAGTCACCAACACATCAGTCACTGTTACTTCAGTCACCAACAAATCGGTCACAGTTACTTCAGCCACCGTTACTTTAGTCACAAACACATAAGTCACCATTACTTTAGTCACCCTTACTTTAGTCAACAACACATCAGTCACCGTTACTTTAGTCACCAACACATCAGTCACCATTACTTCAGTCACCCTTACTTTAGTCAACAACACATCAGTCACCGTTACTTTAGTCACCAACACATCAGTCACCATTACTTCAGTCACCAACACATCAGTCACCATTACTTCAGTCACCAACACATCAGTCACCATTACTTCAGTCACCAACACATCAGTCACCATTACTTCAGTCACCAACACATCAGTCACCATTACTTCAGTCACCAACACATCAGTCACCATTACTTAAGTCACCCTTACTTTAGTCAACAACACATCAGTCACCATTAATTTAGTCACCCTTACTTTAGTCAACAACACATCAGTGACCATTACTTTAGTCACCCTTAATTTAGTCAACAACACATCAGTGACCATTACTTTAGTCACCCTTACTTTAGTCAACAACACATCAGTTACCGTTACTTTAGTCACCAACACATCAGTTACCGTTACTTTAGTCATCAACATATCAGTCACCATTACTTCAGTCATCCTTACTTTAGTCACCAACACGTCAGTCACCGTTACTTTAGTCACTACCACATCAGTCACCCTTACTTTAGTCACCAACACATCAGTCACCCTTTTTAGTCACCAACACATCAGTCACCCTTATTTTAGTCACCAACAATGTAGTCACCGTTACTTCAGTCATCCTTACTTTAGTCACCAACACATCAGTCACCCTTACTTTAGTCACTAAAACATCAGTCACCCTTAATTTAGTCACCAACACATAAGTCACTGTTACTTCAGTCACTCTTATTTTAGTCACCAACCACATCAGTCACCCTTTCTTTAGTCACCAACACTTCAGTCACCCTTACTTTAGTCACCAACACATCAGTCACGATTACTTCAGTCACCCTTATTTTAGTCACCAACACATCAGTCACCGTTACTTCAGTCACCTTACCTTAGCCGCCAACACATCAGTTACCATTACTTTAGTCTCCCTTACTTAAGTTACCAGAACATCAGTCAACCTTACTTTAGTTATCAACATATCAGTCACCATTACTTCAGTCACCCTTTCTTTAGTTACCAACACATCAGTCACCGTTACTTCAGTCACCCTTAGTTTAGTCACTAACACATCAGTCACCCTTACTTTAGTAACAAACACATCAGTCACCATTACTTTAGTCACCAACACATCATTCACCATTACTTTAGTCACCAACACATCAGTCACCCTTATTTTAGTCGCCAACGATTTAGTCACCCTTACTTTAGTCAGAAACACATCAGTCACCCTTACTTTAGTCACCAAAACATCAGTCACCCTTACTTTAGTCACCAACACAGCAGTGACTGTTACTTCAGTCACTCTTATTTTAGTCACCAACACATCAGTCACCCTTACTTTAGTCACCAACACCAGTCACCCTTATTTTAGTCACCAACACTTCAGTTACCCCTACTTTAGTCACCAACACATCAGTCACCCTTACTTTAGTCACCAACACATCAGTCACTGTTACTTTAGTCAGCCTTACTTTAGTCACCAATACATCAGTCATTGTTACTTTAGTCACCAACACATCAGTCACCATTACTTTAGTCACCCTTATTTGAGTCACCAACACTTCAATCTCCGTTACTTCAGTCACCTTACTTCAGTCACCAACACATCAGTTACCATTACTTTAATCTCCCTTACTTCAGTTACCAAAACATCAGTCAACCTTACTTTAGTCACCAATACATTAGTCACCATTTCTTCAGTCACCCTTTCTTTAGTCACCAACACATCAGTCACAGTTACTTCAGTCACCCTTACTTTAGTCACAAACACACCACTCACCATTACTTTAGTCACTCTTAGTTTAGTCACCAACACATCAGTCACCGTTACTTCAGTCACCCTTACTTTAGTCACCAACAAATCAGTCACCCTTACTTTATTCACGCTTACTTTAGTCACCAACGCATCAGTCACCGTTACTTCAGTCACACTTACTTTAGTCACCAACCCATCAGTCACCATTACTTAAGTCACCAACGCATCAGTCGCCAACGCATCAGTCACCATTACTGTTGTCACCAATGCATCGGTCGCCATTAGGGGCGACGTAACCATTACCAGTGCCCTAATGATAACTTCCTTGGAGGCTGAACAGGATTGGCACTCTTGGTCTGTATCTGGATTGGAATTGTGTAATCTCGGGTGGCCAGAACCTTCAGGCAGTAGCCTGCAGAGCGACATCCAGGCACATCCAAGTTTTCATACAACTTACCTGGCATGTGTCTATGCCGCCTGCCGTCTGCCCGGCACAAATGTTGTTGCTGTCCAGGGAGCCGATGAAGTACACGCAGGTGTTGCGGGTAACGATTGGCAGGTTGACTTCTCTCAGATACATCTGTGACTCCTGGTCCTCTTCCACTGTACAGACAGATAAACTACCATGCTTGATTACAGACAAGTGGTCATGCATCATACAATAAATAGACCATTCACAATGCTTCGTGCACCAAAGCGACGAATCATCATGTTTCATGATGAGATATTGTCTTGTGAGAAGCTTGTCAATAACAGTCCATGTATGGGCGAAAAAGACTAGCATACTAGATACTATAAGGAGACAAAACACCATATGTCGGACGTTACAGATGAACCAGTCACCATCAGTCAGGCACTGTCAGACACTACGGACATAGACTTCACCTACAGTCAGACACTACAGACATAGACTTCACCTACAGTCAGACACTACAGACATAGACTTCACCTACAGTCAGACACTACAGACATAGACTTCACCTACAGTCAGACACTACGGACATAGACTTCACCTACAGTCAGACACTACAGACATAGACTTCACCTACAGTCAGACACTACAGACATAGACTTCACCTACAGTCAGACACTATCAGACATAGACTTCACCTACAGTCAGACACTACAGACATAGACTTCACCTACAGTCAGACACTACAGACATAGACTTCACCTACAGTCAGACACTACAGACATACACTTCACCTACAGTCAGACACTACAGACATAGACTTCACCTACAGTCAGACACTACAGACATAGACTTCACCGTCAGTCAGACACTATCAGACACTACGGACGGAGACTTCTCTATCAGTCAAACACTACAGATGAACCAGTTAGCATGAGTCAGACACTACAAATGAACCAGTCATCATCAGTGAGACACTACAGATGAACCAGTCATCGTCAGTCAGACACTACAGATGAATTAATCACCATCAGTCAGACACTACAGATGAACCAATCACCATCAGTGAGACACTACAGATGAACCAATCACCATCAGTCAGACACTACAGATGAAGCAGTCACCATCAGTGAGACACTACAGATGAAGCAGTCACCATCAGTCAGACACTACAGATGAACCAGTCACCATCAGTCAGACACTACAGATGAACCAATCACCATCAGTCAGACACTACAGATGAAGCAGTCACCATCAGTGAGACACTACAGATGAAGCAGTCACCATCAGTCAGACACTACAGATGAAGCAGTCACCATCAGTGAGACACTACAGATGAATTAATCACCATCAGTCAGACACTACAGATGAACCAGTCACCGTCAGTGAGACACTACAGATGAAGCAGTCACCATGAGTCAAACACTACAGATGAACCAGTCACCATGAGTCAAACACTACAGATGAACCAGTCACCATCAGTCAGACACTACAGATGAACCGTCATCGTCAGTCGGACACTACAGATGAACCAGTCACTTTCAGTCAGACACTACAGATGAACCAGTCACCATCAGTCAGACACTACAGATCAAGCAGTCACCATCAGTGAGACACTACAGATTAACCAATCACCATCAGTCAGACACTACAGATGAACCAGTCACCATCAGTCAGACACTACAGATGAACCGTCATCGTCAGTCGGACACTACAGATGAACCAGTCCCTATCAGTCAGACACTACAGATGAACCAGTCACTGTCAGTCAGACACTACAGATGAACCAGTCACCATCAGTCAGACACTACAGATGAACCAATCACCATCAGTCAGACACTACAGATGAACCAGTCACCATCAGTCAGACAATACAGATGAACCAGTCATCGTCAGTCAGACACTACAGATCAAGCAGTCACCATCAGTCAGACACTACAAATGAACCAGTCACCATGAGTCAGACACTACAAATGAACCAGTCACCATAAGTCAGACACTACAAATGAACCAGTCACCATCAGTGAGACACTACAGATGAACCAGTCATCGTCAGTCAGACACTACAGATGAACTAGTCACCATCAGTGAGACACTACAGATGAACCAGTCACCATCAGTGAGACACTACAAATGAACTAGTCACCATCAGTGAGACACAACAGATAAAGCAGTCACTGTCAGTCAGACACTACAGATGAACCAGTCCCCATCAGTCAGACACAACAGATGAAGCAGTCACTGTCAGTCAGACACAACAGATGAAGCAGTCACTGTCAGTCAGACACTACAGATGAACCAGTCACTGTCAGTCAGACACTACAGATGAACCAGTCACTGTCAGTCAGACATTACAGATAAACCAGTCACTGTCAGTCAGACACAACAGATGAAGCAGTCACTGTCAGTCAGACACTACAGATGAACCAGTAACTGTCAGTCAGACACTACAGATGAACCAGTCACTGTCAGTCAGACACTACAGATGAACCAGTCGCCATCAGTCAGACACTACAGATGAACCAGTCGCCATCAGTCAGACACTACAGATGAACCAGTCGCCATCAGTCAGACACTACAGATGAACCAGTCGCCATCAGTCAGACACTACAGATGAACCAGTCGCCATCAGTCAGACACAACAGATGAAGCAGTCACTGTCAGTCAGACACAACAGATGAACCAGTCACTGTCAGTCAGACACTACAGATGAACCAGTCACTGTCAGTCAGACACTACACATGAACCAGTCACTGTCAGTCAGACACTACAGATGAACCAGTCACTGTCAGTCAGACACTACACATGAACCAGTCACAGTGTCTGGATAGACTGATTGCAATGCAATGAGTTTCATGTTGTCTCGGTACTTCAGCGTTAGTTTCGTTGAACTTCTGGGGGAGGGGGGGGGGGAAATAAGTCAGAGAGAGAGAGAGAGAGAGAGAGAGAGAGAGATAGAGAGAGGGAGAGAGAGAGAGAGAGAACTTGGGAGGGGGGGGGGGGGGTTAATTAGGAGATTAAAACGCTTGGCTCCCTCTGTCGGCG